TCTACCAGTTCTCTCTACTTCCCACTGTGTCTGCCATCTTTCCTTAATCTTTTGTTTTATAATATATGTTATTTCCTCTTTACTAAATGAAATTAGTATCTCAATGTAACTGTTGTTTGAAGCTTGTTTTGCATATTTATCTGCCAACTCATTTCCTTTAATTCCTACATGAGACGGAACCCATGCAAAAATGACTATTAATCCCATGGCCTGAATTCTATAAAGTAACAACTGAATTTCCAATAAAAGGTCTGGTCTACTATTAGACTGATTATTTTTAATTGAGTATAATGATGAACTTGAGTCAGAACAAATTAAACTTCTCAAAGGATGAACCTCTTCAATCCAACCTAAAGCCAAAATGATTCCCATCATCTCCCCTGTAAACACTGAGACCCCATCAGTAATCCAATTAAATTTTTTAATACTAAGTTCTGGGATGATAAACGACACGCCATTATTGCTACTTATAGGAGCATCTGTATACACTTGAACATAACCTTAATATTTATTATCTATATATGACTGCAATGAGTATGATTCTGAAAAATGTCCTTTTTTCCTCTTCTCCAACAGTAAGTCCACAAAGATATCATGAAATAGAGATGGATGGACCAGTGAAAGAGGAACTGTTTGACTCATATTTATAGACGATAAATCAAACTCTTTCACATCGCTTTCTATCTCCCACCCAAAAGATTTTAAAGTCTTTTCCCCCTTTTCCCAACTAGGTTTTAAAATTTCTTGACATGGGTGGTTTTCATAATGACCCTTTAAATAACACCAATAAGATAATCTTAACTGTAATCTTCTGAGGTAAAGTGGTACAGCTCCTGTACACAACCTCAAGGCTTCATACTGAATAATATCAATTTTTTTAAGAAGTGTTATTGATCCTGATCCAAAGGCTATGCTCCCCAACAACAAGTATCAGTCGGCAAATTACCTCAGCTTTTATACCGAACGCCCTCTAGCGCTATTGGGTCACTTGCAATCAACCCGCTGGCAGGTACAGCCTCCACCTTCTTCCTGCCACACCAGCAAAGAAGAATAAGGAAGTGATGTGTTATAGTTCTTGCTTGCTTTGTCTGTAGGTGCAGGAACAAGTCATCAGGTCTGATTGGAAGGTTTATGTGAGCGAGTCAGAGTCCTGCTGAAGATGAAGACAATACTTGTTTTCTGTAAGTAAACTGACAGCAGATTGAATCAAAATCTACATTTTAATTATTTTTGCACAATGAACATTGATGTGACTCTACACTTTTTGTCTTCAAGACATTTTGCTAAACCAGGTCATTGGCCAGACAGAAGGTGAGCGCAATATATGACAATTCTTAACAGAACAAGATGCCTTTTAAGATGTTATGTTGCTACATTTGTCTGTGTGTCTTTTTCTGTAGACTTGTATCCTGTAAAGATTCTGGTCCGGCAGAGAACTATAAGCGAGGGCAGTGACCTTCATGTAACCTGCAGCATACATGGGAAAAAGAAATTCCCCTCTTTTTATGTTTATTTACTGAAAGATGGACAAGGATTTCAGAAATCAAATCAGAAGCAAAATTTGGATGATGTTCTTTTCACAATATCTAATGTTCATCTTGATCACAGTGGAAATTACAGCTGCTTGTACTCCACTACAAATTACAACCCTTCTGATGTAGAAAGGAAAGGACAGGATGTTGCTGAGACTCTGGTTATACGTGAGTATTTTTAATTCTTGTTAATCCCACATGCAGCTGCTTTCATTTATTAATTTCTCCAACTGCTATGCAGCCAATTTCATCCCAGCAGAGCTCTCCATAGCTGGACCCTTCACAGTTAATGAGGGAAGCAACGTTGAGTTTAAATGCACCTTTTCAGAAATCCTGCACACTCTCAATAACTGTCAACTCATCTACTGCTACCTGAAGAAGAATGAGACCATCCTTCAAGTACAAGTATTTGATCTTGCTCAGATGGAAGCCTCTTTCACCATTGAAGGTGCTGTTTCAAGGGATTCAGGTCCATATAGTTGCCTTTTGCTGCCGTCAAAATGCTTCCAGAAACAATGGAATGAGCTTCAGGGAATAAATACGGTGATTCTGGAGGTCAAAGGTGGGAATTTTTCCACAATGTATTTTACATTCCACATTTTTCCTCTTAAAAAATCTCTGAAAATGTATGTCATTAAATTTAATTTGTATTTCAGAGGATTTGATCCCATGGGCGGCTTTGTCTTGTGGAATTACATTCCTTATTTTGCTTTTCATTCTGTGTCTGGGATTGATGATTTACAAAAGTTGCTTCAAAGCTTTGTACAAGCCATGGTGAGTCTTCGTTTAACTGCACTTCCTGTTGGCAGACGGGAGAAATTAACAGACAGTGATCGAATACAAAGTAAATGTAATACATAAGGAAGAATTTGCTTTCTGTTTGAATTATGTATTTTCTAATTTTGATAGTGAGCAGCAGAATACAGATGTGTTGGCACTGACAGATGTGGAACCTCAAGAGGGTATGTAGGTTAGAATCAACAAAAATATTATTTAGAAAATCTATTCTTTAAGAGATATATAATGATTTGACAGGGGAAACATTCTCACTCATCTACTTCAATTTAAATGTTTTTTATTTAATAAACAGAAGAAATAGATGTTTTATCTTTCAAAGTTTATAATCTTGCTCTTGATGAAGGTGGACGCTTTTTCCCTCTGCTCCCTCTCTGCCCTCCTTGCTCTGTTTTAGTCCTGTCTTTTTCTGTATTTTTTGAGCCTTTCTTTGTACATTATCCAAATCTACAAATTATGGATCCGGTCAACCGATCTCTCAATGCAATTGATCAAATTTTTGATGAGAAGTCTGGGCACAGGAGAACCCTCTTGTCCTGCGGGGACACACCCGGATTCACCCTGGATTTATTCACAGGATTTCTGCTGTTTGGAACTTGTGGATTCCTGGATTATCGACAAATTTGTGACGGACTTGGCCAAACTAGCGAACACTCAGATTGTTGGTGTGGACAGAGACGAGGACTCTAAAACTCACTAACCAGTTGGAATCGATCTTGGAGAAGTTGCTAGTTTCGGTTCAGTGGAACGACCAAACTAATTTGGATAATTGGGAACTGAGATGTATCGGAGAGACTTTAGGGAAGATTGAAATTTATAATCTTCTGTTTCTGAATTGGCTTTCCCCATGTGTCCTTGGAAGGGCTGCATATTTCTAATCTCCTTTAGGATATGTAAACCTAACGCTCTTTCCCACCTCACCCCCTCCTGTATCCATGGAGCTGAGTGCTCCCAAGGACATCATTCCTCGATAACAACACCCTTACCTTTGCCGGAAGGCTGAGCAACGTGGTTTCATGGCCCTTTGACGTCACCGCTTTCACTCATGTCTTTGTTTTACCCTTTGTTTGGTCTGAATGTTGCCATCTGCCCTAATGTGTCCTTTGCTCTTTTTTGCTTTTCTTCTTTATTTCTTTGGTTTGTTATTTTATTTGTATTTCCTTTTAATTCACAAAGCACTTCCAATTGCCTTGTTGCTGAAAATGTGCTATATACATAAAATGACCTTACCTAATGCTGAAGGCATTTGAATTGTAAATGAATTGTAAATGTTGCCTGTTGAATTGTAAATGTTTCTTAACTTTCATAATCTCATGCTTTAAAGTTCTTCAAGATTTTTTATCATAAAAAACATAAGTACAAACTCCTATTGGAATGACTAATAGTTGGCTCTTTGTAGTTTTTAATAATTTAATCATCCTCTTTCAAGAACTAGAAGAAGAGAATTCTTTCAGCATGGAGAGGAAAGAAGAGTAAGTTTGCAAATCAGTCTTTATAAGATCTGTAATCAATTTGTCTGTTTATATATTTATATGTGTTACAAAGAATATAAGATAGCCGTTGTTGTACTTGTTAATTTTATTGCCGAGTGCATATACACGGACATGCCGGTTAAACTGTAAATAATGTGGAAAAAAGACAAACAAAACGTCAATACTTAGTATTGCAATATTCAATAAATGTAAATTTAAACATGGATTTAGGAGATTGGCTTGACTTGACTAGCCGGTTATGAAGCAAAGTTTACTCTTAGAACGCTTCATAATATAATAAGCGTCTGCATTCAAATATCACAGTGCAGCAAACATAAGCTAGCACTTGGCTATTTAGCTCTAGCAAATTCACCAAGCGCAGGCTTAGAACAGATAACAAAAACTTATCTACTCACAGCATACAGCATTAATATAACTCACCACATTGGCCAACACACTTGAACAGCAGTAAGATATGATTTTATGGGAGATTCAGCATGTTAGTTTCAGCTAACGGAAGCCAGAGCACACTACTGGTCTGCCGTCAGTTTTTCTTCCTCTACACGTTAATTCACGTACCAATACAAAGCAACTATAGAGCCCTCTAGTGGAATGGGAGGAGTGAATCCAACAATATGTTTTATTAATAACAATCCAATATGCGTAACATGCAGATAAATGCAGCCCTCTTCACTCTGATCACTGCAAAATCGTGTCGAAACCATCAACTTATATAAATATTCATGTGTTAGAATGACCCAGTCAAAGTCCAGACCAAATCCAATTGTTAATTTGTGGGTTAAAAATTAATTTTCAAATATATTCTCCCTCTAATCTGACTGATACTGAGTTATTTTGTAAAGAAGAACTTGCAAGAATGTGATTTTCTATCAATGTAAATTTGATTGATGCAAATCCCCAAAACTTGCTGTGTCTTCAGTGGAATGTGCTTCTGAAAAGCACCAATTCAGTAATATTCAGATGTTTATTTGTAACAAAAACTAAAAATCATGCATATTTTTTCTTCCACCTCACAGTTATTCTCTGGTTTGTGTTTGTTGCTGTTCTCCTCTCGGCTTCTCCTTCCAAGCAGTTGCCACAGCACAGCAGCCTCCCCCAATCCACAGCTGCATACAGATGGACTTAGCACAAGTTTTATACCGAATGCCCTTCCTGATGCAAACCTTCCTGTTGTCAGCAACAAGGAGTGGGTTTCAAACGAGGACCAACTTGAAGGGCTACTTGCTGTCGCATCTGAGCCATTGACAACCTCAATAAGGTTTGTGACGTGACAGAAATATGAAATATTAAAGGACAATTACGGTAATATTTTATCAACACACTGCATTTAGTTATTCATTTATTTTGCTGCAGTAAAAGTTGTGTCTAGCATTTAACCTGGCAACATTTTTTCATCAGATATCGACAGTGTTTTGAGACAAGAAGGAGGGTTGTCTATTACTCATGTGACGGAATTTATAGCGTTATTCCAGGTAGGAGGAATAGATATGTTAAACATCAGTACATGATTTTAGTCACTTTCTTCTTCAAAAATATTAATTACAGATTGAATAAGTAATTATTAATTGTATTATTACAAAAATATTAAAATCCATGTAAATTATGATGACTTTAGCATCACTTGTACAGTTCTTGTATTCAAATTGTGCAATGTAAAGCAATTCAAAGTAGTGCATAAATTGCCTTTCAAGCATATCTTAGAAAATAACTGTGAATACAAAAGTGCTAAACAAAGAAGCACAGATACATATTGACAGCTTCCTGTTTTTCACCGCAGATGATTCATCTGCAGGACCATGTACTTCACGTGTGCTGTACACCACTTCTGTCATTAAGCAACAAAAGGCATCATGAAAGTCACCATAACAAGACTTCACCTGAATGTGATGCATAAATCCATTACATGCATGTATTTTGTTCATTTCACTTTTGTGCTACTCCAGGACAATGCAACAGTGTTGACCTGACAGATTTAGCCACAAGATTTAGCATTGTTCATACAACTTGAACTTTTCACATTTTGTCATAATTTCAAATGACTTTGAAAACATAAAGGAAAATTTAAATGAAATTTGTTCTGTATGCATTACATGGATTTGTATTGATTTGTCTCTATCAGTCTTAATTTTGTGCCAGTTCCTTGTAAAACAACTTGAACTCCATCAAGCTTGGTAGTGACTGTGAACATTAATTTTCTAGCTGTGACATAGATTCAAAATTAGACTTAGGTCTCTATTTTGACTGGGTCATTTTAAGATATGTTTACTGTCATTCTGATGGAAGATAAAACTCTATCTAATATCTATTGGAGTATGCAAAACTAAGAAGTTAGGATGTTAAGAAGTGAGGATACTGTTATAGAAGTCAAATCAACTATGACATTCTTCTGCTGACACGGAAGTGAAACTACGCACAAGTGGACTGTGCTTACTCATTATATAACAGGATGTAGTTGGTTGCACTAGTTTTTATTTAGCTTTAACAGAGTAAAGGAGACTGTACACAAAACACACACCATATTTATACGATTTCTATTTGTAAAATAAATCTGTCTTTTATCTTCTTGTTCATCAATATACACTGCATGTTCTACTGTGTAAAATCCCAGTGACATATATAGAAGTTTGTTGTTTTATCATGACAAAATGTCAAAATTCCAATTTGTAAGAAAACTTTTGAATTAGGTTGCAAATTCTACTATTTTGAGTTGTTTTTTTGTTGTTTTTGTTTTGTGCAATGGACAATATGTGTAGTTTATGATGCATTATGGGCTCAACTAGTTGTGTGCTTAATTAATTTTATTTTACCAATGTGTTTCACTTTTTGCCCTGTAAATACTGAATGCTGATTGCAATAATGTTTTGGTTAGTAAGCCAATGGCTTCAATGTTCGCTATGTCCACTTCATTTATGTAAAGTGAATAAGTAAATCTCTATCCAATTCTTTGAAAACGTACACATTTTGGAGCCAACAGTGTGAAAATAAATAAATTTACAACCATTTGTGCTGTGAAAAGTTTAAAAGTAAGAAAAAAGAAAACCGGGAAATTGCATTTTTCAAGACTAGCTTGAACTCTTAAATTACTTACTCTGAAATGCTTTAATAATTGGGATTTATGTAATCCCCACTTGAGACAAATGGCATTTATTTCTGATTGTTGCATACTTTCTTTTTTTATCGCAGCCACAGGTGAGTACTGTATTTTTCACACTTATATAAACCATCAATTTCCTCAAAAGCCGACAGTGCGCCTTAGAACCCGGTGCGCCTTATGTATGGAGCAATGCTGAGTCACAACAGGTCTAGCAACTACGGCAAGCAGCCGCCGACTTCATTTTCGCCCGTAGAAAAAGAAGCGCGTGGTGCATGCTGGGATAGTTGTCAGAACGCTGGTNTGTGACGTCAACGCCTTAGGTGCAAAGAGCCCATTGAAAACACGGATAATAAAATTTAAAATTGTTGAGAGAGTGACTCTGAATTACTTTCAATAATCCTTGGTACCACATATATTTTAAATAATGTTTAAATTTTAGTCATCAATCTATCAAATGTCTTTGGCACTTTTAATTCTTGGTTTCTGGATCATCAGATTGAGGAGAGGTTAAGGTCTGCCGGTAAATCCCACCTGCTCACCCGCTTGTCCTACCCCGGCGCTGGTCACCTGATCGAGCCCCCCTATTCCCCGAGTGCAAGAACGTCCATGTGGTCCGTCAAACCCAAGAAATGTGAGCTGCCTCTGCAGTTTTACATGACTTCATTCATGTTCTTTACTTATTATTGCCATTATTACATGAGATCTGATGTTTCTGCTGCAGTGATCACAATGTGGGGCGGCCACCCTGCACTGCACGCTGCCGCCCAGGAAGATGCATGGAAGAAAATACTGGATTATTTGGAGAAAAATCTGAGAAGCTGAATATCTGGAGAGATGCTGGATTTGAGAACGTTTTTTAATCAGAAATGTAAATTGGAGCTGGAGTTCAATTTGCACAAAAATGGACAAGTTAATTTGTTGCTATGCAGCAAATTGTAGATCATCCTCAAGAGAGAGTTGCTTGGTTTTAGCTGTCATTCTAGTGCCAACCACTGGACACACATCAGCGAGGAGGAAAGTCACAGCAGCAGCAAATGTATTATGTTTTATAAAACTCCTGTAGAAACTGAGCTGCTGCTGGATGATGACTTCTGAGTTTTCCGACTTTGTGCCGTATGATCCAAATACTGGGCATTTCATTTCATCCATTAAAGTTTATAACAAACAACTGAACTGTGCAAAATGTGCCAATTCCCCAAGCAGAATAAATCAGGTTATGAAAAGCATCACAATAGAAATAAGATTTAATAACAACCTTCTCTCTAACTTGGTTAAAATACAAATGAATCAAGTCACACTAGTAGACAAACGGAGCCAGACTTCCAGATTTTCTCAGGTGTTTAATGAGTATTTAGTATAAACATACTGATCAATGTTTGTGGGTCTGGTTGAAGATGTCGTGACATGCTGAAGTAACCATGGCGATGAGAGCTACGAACTCTTTGAAGTCGATCTCCAGGTCTCTGTTCTGGTCCAGATCAGTGAAGAGTTGGTTCAGGATCTTCTTGTTCTTAATTTTCTGTTTAGAAGGAAAAATGTTGATTAAGTGCAGGAACCGGGCAAATAAATCAGACAAGATGGAAAAACTACGGAAGCACATGTGACATTTGTTTCATAGATCTTGGAGGTTTCACTCATGCAGATCTTGAGTTTGATTTCCTGCGGTGATTAAAATAATCAGATTAAATTACTCGCCTTGATGAAGTGATTCATCTCATTGTTGATGAGAGCTTTAAGGTCTGCCTTCCTCAGCGTGCAGTTTTGACCCGAGTATTTATGGAAAACTTTAATGATAGTGGCCATACCGTTCTCCAACTCTGAGAAATCATCTGCAGAGGCCTGCAGCAAACAATTTAAAACAAAACATCATCATTTAGACTTCCTTACATGTATGAATTAAAAATAAATCAGAAACTTTCTTTGTTTCTTTCTATTAAACTATAAACTAAAACACTACATGTGTGCATTAATGACTTACCATACTGTATTAGTTCCCCGCATTTATTTCCAATTAGAATACTATTTTGAGATATTAGTCCTCCTTACCTCCATCTTCAGAAGCTGCTTTCTCCAGTGAGGATCTTGAGTGAGACTGAAGACTAAATAGCGGCAAGCTGTCGGCCTCGCCCAATAACAATGGACACGTAGCTGAATCGATCAACCACACGGAGGCTTCTCATGTGTCATACAGCGCATAATGCATTTTTAATGGATGCAAGTGGTCAACTCTTTTATCAAACACCAAACAATCTCCTCATGAAAAGTGTAATTTCATGGTTGTGTGAAATTACTATAGAGCAGTATCCCCACTGCATGATGCTACCAAGACCACATTTCATTATTGGGGTGATTTTTTTATCATGATTCTACCTTCCATAGCCTTTAAGGCAAAAAATTAAATTTTTGGTCTCATCAGACCTGAACACCTTCTTCGACACTATCTCTCCTTCATGGTTTCTAGCAAACAGGCTATACATGGCATAAAACCATCAGATTTGTGGCGTCCATGACTAAAAGTTGTTAGCAGATTCTCCCACCTCGGCTGCAAACCTCTGCAGCTGACCATGGACGACTTGGCTGCCTGTTTGATCAATCCTCTCCTTGCTCAGTTTAGTTGGACAGTCTCTTTCCATTTTCATGTGATGGATTAAGCAATGCTGCGTGAGGCGATATAAGAGCCTGTGATTTGTGTTTTATAACTCAACTCTGCTTCAGACTTTCTCCCCAACTTGTCTGCTGTGTTGCTTAGTTTTTGTAATGCTGTATTTGCTCTATTTATTAATTATGGTACTTACAAAGTCAGTTTGCACTGACTAGATATAATTTAGACAGATCAGAGTAACTGAGGCTTAATGCAAATGCTCAGCATACATTATATTCTATCAAGGTATAATGAAGTAAATTGACTCGGTAGAGTGCTGTATCATTACAAAGATAATAGATCTTCTTTCTTTTTGTTTTTTTAAAATACATCGTTTTGTGTTTCTATGAATTGTCAATTGGTGCTTAGTTTTGAGAGAAAACATTTTTTCTTCCAACTACTCCTTTTCATTCAAAACTTTTGTTTATATCAACATGTGACATGTTCATTTTAAACTGTAAATGAAATCAATAAATAAAATAATTAATTCTTACTAGTAAAAAAGCTTAAATCATAAATGCTTCTCTTCCAATTTACCACTCTGTGTTGACCTATAAGTATCCAGATACAATGCAATGGAGTGTGTGATTGCGAAAACAGGGAGAGGTTCAAAGGATATTAGTCCTTACAATGCACTAATATCCTTGTAAAAGCACTGATGACTGCAGGATGACTGTCATCCTGTTCGGTCTTGCAGGATGCTTTCAAAGAAGATTCCAGTAAAAGCCTAAATAGTTTTGCATTGGTTCCCTTTTAATAAGAAATGCATCCTGTGTGTCATTAAAAGGTATTTACATCAAAACATCTTTGTCAGTAGGTAAGCTATGAATGCCACTGTTTTACTTAATTTTGGGTGTAAAATTATTGATAAGAGAAAGCTTGAACTGAGTCAAATATCTCCAATACATTGGTCATTAACAATTGAAGCTGTTGTAATATTTATTTGAAAAGCATTTAACTCTGCATATGTGGTTTCTGTGCCTCTCAGCAGCAAGCTGTGTGGAGATGCTTGTGGCTGATTTGTGGCATCACTTACAGAGCTAAAATATATTATGCTGCCTTGCAGAGAAAGATAGAGGTTGCAGCAACAGTCAAATCAGAATCTGCTGTTAAATTTGGACTTGCCAGCCTCTTTTCTTTTCAATTAATCTGTCTTATGTATGATTACTGTTGCTTAACAGTGAATTACAAGGCGTGAACATGTGGGAGAAGAATTTAATGTTGGTCATTTCCCTCTTGTTGGTCGCTGGAGGAAGAGAAATACCTACTCAAGATCCATTTTATTCAGACTTTTGAAATTGTACCTACTGGGTTCATTATAAAATCTGGGGTATTAATTTGGGGAGTTTGAATAATTTATTTTCACCAGAGAATCAGACAAGAAGAAATTAGCAGTATCTAACACCAAAAAACTAAATGACCCCCATAAATATTTACATAAATAAACATGAACAACTTTTAAGCAGCATCTCTCCCTTCTGATGCCCTTCTCGGGTGAGGAGGTAAACCAGGAAGAGGTGAATGCTTGTTCCACTAAATCAGGGGTGCCCAAAGTCGGCCCTTGAGGGCCGGTATCCTGCACATTTTAGTTCTCTCCCTGGTATAGTAACAACCTTTTCAGTTTGTCGATGTTCCCCTTAGGAATTTCTAACGAGCCATCATTTGATCCAGGTGCGTTAAACCAGACCCACTTTGGTCTAAATATTGTTAAAACAATACAAATATAAGAAACAGACAAATTGACAAATTTGTAACAACAGTAGCTTTGTACAGAAAGAATGACCAGCCCCTCTGTTTCTCAAGAAGGTCCCCGCAAATGTCTAATCACAACTATAAAACTCAAATAGCCAAAACACTTGACCTGTCACTCAATCATGCGTCACAAGACTCAACAGCTGTATCTAATTGTCACTTGAACGCACCGCGCTACGTTTCCGCCTTAAAAACAGCTACAGTGGTGGCAGCGCATTCCGTGACGTCATACGTTACGCTCCTGTCTCCGCCTCGAATGTTTAAGCGTAGCTTGCGAGTGGAGCGTCCGCCCTTCCTGCGGTAGGAAACTGACGTAAACTGAGCGGACAGGCAGAGCTCGGCATTAATTAAAAGCTTAAATATAATAATTTGACTGAAAGCCCACATCCTCCTTCTGAGCTCATTGCATTTTGAGCCAAACCGGAAAGCACGGTCACCGAAAAGGAGATAGAAAGCGGGCTATAACCTGGCGTTGGTAAGGTTTTAGTCATTCACTTTATCATTTTTTTTTTTAACTTTGCTTTCATTTAAATTCCTGTCATACATTTCTCATGAATGCGAAGCTAAGCCCGTGTCCTCGCTTTTAATAGTACAGCTGAGCAGACAACAATGACGACGATTTTTGGGTCGGAACAAATAAAATTGATAAAATGACTATATTGTTTATATTTTGTAACTGTTTATATTTCAGTCTGGCTAAAGGAGTCCTATGCAGCAGTAGTTCTCCAGAATCTCTTCATCGTTAAACATTTTTACCAGCACTGCTTTTGACTACTAAACGCTATCAACTGATGTAGTATTTGTCTCTGTAACAAATGTACCTTTAGTTAAACCACAGCTAGGCAGTAAATTATGGATTTATACTACATTTGGTAAAATAAGGGTTTTGAAAACCTCTTCAGCTTTACTTTGGTTTGGGTTGGTGGCATTACTAGAGTAGAGCTGCCATTGGTAAGAACTGTAGCAGACAAACGGGTTCTAAACTATTTTTGACGGCTCCTGAGGCCTTTTGTCATCAGATCTTCAGTCGTACCATTTTGCTTATGTTTCTGTTTTCATCTTTCCATTTGATGAAGTTAGCTGTTGCCATATTCTACTGTATCACCTTTGAATAGACGTTATATTTGTCAGTATAGTGAAGCTGTATGCAGCATGTGCTCGTTAGTTCACCTGGTGTTTACTGGAATGATGGTGGTATACTGTTTCTGGTCACTGGAACCAGTGGGCTCATAAGTCTGTCTGCTTGGCCATCATTTTCTACTGCACAGGTGTCAGCTCCAGTCCTGGAAGCCCTGCAATTTTTAGATGTACCTCTGCTGCACCACACCTGAATAGAATAATTAGGTCATTAGTAAGGCGCTGGAGAACTTATCTAAGAGGAGGTAATTAAGCCATTTCATTCCAGTGTTTTGTACCTGTGGCACATCTAAAAACTGCAGGGGAGCGGCCGTTGAGGACTGGAGTTTGACACCCCAGTTCTACAGACTGGGGGGGGGTAATGTAACAGTGGAGACTTAAAAAATGCTCCCACTGGAACTCGTCAACCACACCATCTGGTTTTTATTAAATAAAATGACCCTCTGGTTTCAATTATCTCAAAACAAATTCTGGTCATTCCAGTCTGCTGTGTTCCTCTTGACTAGCTGCATTCATGTTTTTCTTCAACAGGTTTTGTTGGAGCCACTTGGAATACAAACAAACGCATCTAAAAATGGAGAAGATCCAAAAAAAACTGAGGGATAAAAACACTTATGTTAACATAACTTTGAGCTGCCTTGTCTTAAGTAAAGATTTATTGTGCAATTTAAAACAAATTGAAATGTAAGTTGTTCCACAGGTGGCAGAGACTTAAGCGAGTTTGATTTTTACAGAAAGAGGTTAAAAGCTTTAAGATATTGGAGCTTGTCCTAAGTGTTGAATTATTCAGGTACACAGAAAAATCATACTAATTTTCTCTAGAACAGAAAGTAAGAAACGTCAAAAGTCTAAACCCTTAAAACATACTTTACAGTGTAACCCCTCTTTGAGGGTCACAAGAAAATGTCTCCCTGTAAACAAAGTGGAAACAAATTAAGGCTGGTTTAAAACTTTTTGACAGCAGTGTTTAGAGATGACTGGTTTCTCCAATCAGAGTGCGCCTCTGTGCTAATCTAATGCTGTGCTGCAAAGTTTTGCATAATTTAAAAATATTTTCCTGGGAATTGAATTGTGAGCTGCATATGTTTGAATCCTCTCTTCTAGGTCACATGCAAAGCCCTGCAGCCACATCCCTGCTGCTCATTTCTTTTTTTCAGAGGTGCCCTGTTTTCATTTTCAGGCTATAATTAGCCTATCATGTGCGTGAGCGACCTTCTCCATCCCTTTTATCCCCATTCTCTCACACAATTCTTCACCTCTCTTGCGCAGACATGGCCGACCTGCTGAGGCTGCTGCTGCGGGTGGCTGAGAAGGCCGCAAACGTGGCTCGCATCTGCAGACAAGAGGCTCCTCTCTTTCAGCTCCTGGTGCAGGAGAAGACCGGAGAAGACAAGAACAAGAAGTTTGTGCAGGACTTCAAAACGCTCGCCGACGTGATGATTCAGGAGCTGATCCGGCACGACGTGAGAGCTCAGGTAAGGGCGCAAATTGTGAGCCATAAGTAATAAAGTTGTAGAACTAGATTGAGTTTTTATGCTCATGGTTTGTTTTATTTTCTGTGCAGTTCCCAGAGTTGGCTGGATTCATTCATGGAGAAGAGTCAAACAAGTTTGAAAATGGGCTTGGTAATTATTTGGTGTACATTGTTTCTATCATGTTTGCCTTTAATCGTGTTTGCAGCTCATAATTATAAGTATAATTATATTTATATTATAATTCCTGAATGCGCTACACACTACAAATGGAAAGCAAAACCTCCAGCTCTGAGTTTTTACTCTAAACTCGCATAGCCTCACATTTAGTTTGAAAGCTGCCACTTGGAGACTTAACAGACCAGCACTGCACTTGAATTGTTAAAAGCTCTGCCTGCAATTTCCCACAGTGGCGAAAAAATGCCTGCAGTTCTGACAGCATTTAGGTAGATGTTGTAATTTTGCCTGCCTCGTATTGAAGGACAAAGTTCAAATAAAGAATGGGCTCAGCAATTCACTTGTCTATAACGGACATGTTCATGAGACCGATACTTCCATTTCAAAACTGTAGCAAGAGTTGAAACATCTTAACTAAACAAGAGTTCCCTCTATTTAGGTACTTTGAGGGTTTTTTTTTTGTCTGGTTGACTGAGAATTTGCACCAACATCCTTGGATTTAATTTCCAAATGTCTGAAAGTTCCAGGTTCATACAAAAGACTGGGACTGTCGAGCACAAATCACTTCTAAATGATTTGTTGGAGAAATATTGTTCATGCTGATAAAATGATTCCCTTGTTGTATTGAGCAAAAATAATCATCATTGAAGTCATGTTAGATTTAAATTCAGAGTGAGGGGAAAATGGATGATGTCTTATTCTGCATTTGTAAACATCAGGCTTTAGGTATTTGTTTGTCATGGAGGTATGTTAAAAGTTTTTCAGGATTTATAAATGACTTAAATTTCTTTAAAAAAAAAAAAAACAAAGCAGATTGTGATGAATTTATTTTCTCTTGCCCTAAATATAATTGAAACACCTTTGTAATGTTACACATGACTGGCAGCAGTTTTATACACAGAGCTGATTATTCGTGCAGATCAAACACCCAGCACTTCAGTGTGTCACAGTCCAAACATTTAAACGCGGTGACATCGTGTGCTGTGTAAACGCATGAGGTCATTCGTTGTAAATTAAAGCCTCGCTGTTTCTCCAGGAGAAAGCGTGACTGTTACCGTGTGCAGCACGGAGGAGGAGACCGCAAAGCTCCTGGCCACCGTGCTGGACGGCGACCGGACGGCGGCATCTCTGCTGGCTCGAGCCGTCCACCAAGACCCGGCCACCATCGAGGCGAGCACAGATGGACTGACGGTTCCGCTTAAACCATCTGAGCTTGGCATCTGGATTGACCCCATAGGTAAAAACGCACCAGCTGCTTAAGTTGGCTCCTTAAAACAAGAGCTGCTTATGATGATCTCCGTTATGTGTGAAGACGCCACCAGTCAGTACATCGAAGGGCGTGAGGAAGTGCTGGAAGAGGGCCGCCTGTCTCCTTCAGGTCTGCACTGTGCGCTGGTTCTGATCGGGGTTTACCTGCGGAGCACAGGTGAGCCCGTCATGGGCGTGATCAACCAACCGTTCAACAACAAAGATCCCGCTGGCACAGGGTGAGTTAAGCAACTCAGAACCTCCAACTCCTGTCTAGCAGTTTTGATCATTCAAGCCGTCTTCAGAAGTTCATTTAAAACTTTTAAACCTTGTCACACTTCCTTGTATTTTACTTTTTGTTTCAACTGTTGAGCAGATGATTGACCAGAAAGTGCAGGGAGATCACCTTAACATAAAAAGTAGCACTTACTTTCTAACCAAATAAAAAAACAATAAAATCTTCATTAGATATGTAGTTAAATGCATTAATTGGGGACAAATTATGGCACAGTGACAACCTGAGACTACTTTTTTTATTTTGCTTCTACCTTTTTTTTTTTTTTTTTGACAATTGCCTGCTCTCATTCTCTGGATTTCATTTGTCTTCACCTTTAGTTTCTTAAATATACAACATGCATTTCATATCATTCTTATGCTGCTTTTACACAGCATCTTCTCCAGATTATGGTCAATGAAACTTTCATAGGTCTATGGGCTATTCAAAACATGTTCATCGCATTTTTTGCACAAAATCATTTTCAGAATGAGATTTTAGTCAGTTCTGCTTATGTTGAGATTTTCAGAATGAGCCGTTTTGGCCTCTTGTCGCTTTAAATCCAGATAAGCTGCTGCTGGCCATGCCCCCAACTCAATGTTTACACTCGCACAGGAAAATTGCTCCAAACAGATGTATAATCGTACAGCAGTATGTCTTTGAAAAGCAGAAGTGGAGCCTCCTATACAACCAGCAAGAATGAATCATGTGGTTTCTGGATGGCAAGTAAACGACAAAACATTTGTCTTTTCCAGCAGCCATTGTACAGTGCATATGGCATTAAAACCAGCTGACCAAACATGCTGGAGCTCAGCTCGGGTTGCTAGGTAATGGAACAGTTTTTGAAACTGTATATTTTCCAGACACCAAAAAACTTATTGCCAAAGAAAAATGGCTAGGTGGTTTCTATGCGGTAGGTCTATTTTTAGAAGCAGTTGAGACCCAACTAGATGTATAAAAATGTGAATTTTTCATAAAATGCTTTCTTTAATGACCGCTGTGACTTTACTCTGTCACTGAGCTTTTCAGGCTGACTAAAAACGATCCTCTCTGTTCTCAGCTGGAGAGGAAAGCACTACTGGGGTGTGTCCTGTGGCAGCACGAACATCTGCTCAGAGTCCAGACCAGGAGAGCGATCTGAGGGAGGCCTGTCCGTGGTGCTGAGCTCCAGTGAGAAGCAGTCGGTGAAGGAAGCTCTGACCTCGGTGTGCGGCCCAGACAAGCTCATGTACGCCTCTGGAGCCGGCTACAAGGTCCTGTGTGTCATCCAGGGCCTGGCGGACGCCTATGTCCTGTCAGAGGGCAGCACCTTTAAGTGGGACTCGTGTGCTCCTCACGCCCTGCTGCGGGCCCTGGGAGGGGGTGTGGTGGACTTGGCTTTGAGTCTGCAGCAGTCGGAGAGCGGAGCACAGGATCCCAGGACAGAACTGACGTATCACCAGCCTTGCGCTGATCGATCGGGAGCAGACCGCTGGGCCAATCATGGCGGCCTAGTGGCCTACAGAGACGTTTCTCAGCTCCGCAGCATCATGGGAGCCCTGAGAGGTAAACTTTAGGTAAAAACACCTTGTGAGTTTAAATATACCACCATATTTATCTTTTCTATGTTGGTGGAGGGAGACGGGTGTGAACAGAAATATTAGTTATAAATGTGTCTAACCAGATTTCTATGGAGCATTACCAACTAAATGTGAGATGAAATGTTTTTGAAATGCGTTAAAATGTTAAGTGCTGTAATTCTGACAAGCCCATAAACAGACAGGTTTGCAGTATTTGTCCCTAAAGCAAGCAAACATGGTCTAAAATTTGGTTGTTTTGTGTTCATGAATTAGTTATTGTAAAGGCACCATTACAACCATTCACGTGCATTTATACAGAGCTCTGGAGGCAACTCGAGGTTAAGTGCCTTTCCATGTGGAAGCCAGAAACTACTTTCTGACTGCAAGATGACTACGCGCATATCGTCACCCTATGTACTAAAATATGTATTTTGTATAAGATATCATGAAATTAAATGAATTTATTCACAGAAAACATTATTTTTTTTAAGTCTTTTTACAAGTGGGGGGGGGATGAAAGCCAAGTTTCCTTTTTTTTTTTTTTTTTTTTAACTCAAAACTAACATGTGAAAGTATGCACCACTCTGGTCTATTATACAAAATCCTGAGGTTTGTTTGAGTAACTGGCCAAAAGGTGGAAATCTTAAAGGGGAGCAAGGTGCTATAAAATATACAGAAATATGCCTTTTACAGACTCAATATTCACATCAATGAATCTGGTGGGTTTTTTTTACCTTCACATCAGGGAGTTAATGTTTTGGAAACATCTCCATGTAAGGAGCAGAGATTTAAAGGTGCCCTGCTCTGTTTTCACAAGCATAACACAGCCAAAGGTCGATGAGTGGAAAATGAGGTAAAACGGTGAAGGTACTTTTTTAGGTCAGGTTGGATAAAAAGGACCGTCTGCATGATGGTTGCTGAATAAAATGACAAGTTGAAAATGAGCAGAAAACAGTTAACATTGTTGCATCTTGGAAATCATCTTTATTTTGAAAACCAGAGAAAGCAGGGGAAAGAAACCCAAGATTACTTAAACTGTTCAACTGGGAACTTGTCTCTGAACTTCATACAAAAAAACCCTGATTGTCAAATATTTTTGCAATATTTCTGCATAATCTGTTTAAAAACACAAAGGAAACGGAACACTGTCGACTCGTTCAGACCTCTTGGACTCTGACCTGCTACCTTTAAACGTGCAGCACTTCATATTCTGAGTTGAAAACGAAGCTAAATAATGCATCATGGATGAGGCTGTGCAGTTCCTGCGCGAACTAAAGATCAGGGTGTGGTGCTGCAGAAATGTCAAGTTACTGTGATCAATTTCTGAAATTCACTCCTAGTTGGAACATTTTTGTCTTCATTGGAGAGATGGCTTTACATAAAGGGAGCCTCAGATTCCACACATTTCCTTTTGTGAGGGAAAAACCTTTTTTTTTTTTAAAGCAGGTGCAGAGAACCAAAGACTTCCTGCAGAAACGGGCATCTGCAACAAGAGCTCCTTTTAGGCATTCACTCTGTTACAATAACAAAACTCATCTTCTCTGGAGCGCGGTGGCTGTGCAAACGTAAAATCTGTAGGTGAGCTGCTGTCGAGCTCGGTGAGTAAGACCTCCCACTCACCTGCAGCTGGAGGTTTAGCTTCAAAACCACTGAATCGAAATCAGTTCTGCTCTTTTACAGTGCCGGGTGTGCAAAAGTCCAAGAAAGGAAAAAAATTAACACAATAGAAAACTTCCTATGAATATAAAATATAACTTTTATCAAGTGCCTCTCACACACACACACACAGTTGCCTTTTTCAATAACTGCCCACAATCTTAAAGTCAGATGTAAACAATGCAGCAGGTTGCTTTTACAAGGCTACAGGCAAAACAAAAAAGGTTTCATTAATTTCTAGGCAAGGCCCATGTGAACTTAACTGACTTTCTTTAATGTTTATAACCAGTAAGCACTGGGCAGATTTCCTGTGAACCTGTAATGTGGAAATCTGAACCACAATAACTATTTGGATGCAGAACGTGACGTGAACTGGGACATCAACGCAATAATCATGGAGTAAAAACATGCTAAAGAACATGCAACAACTTCAGCTTAGGAAAATCCAGAGAAAATTTAGATTAACTGGAACAAAAATGATCTTAGCAGCTACGTAAGAAAAATAGAGCAAATCAACAATGTAGCAGCATACACGTCCTGTTGTCTTCAACCTTGCTGCTTAAGTCGGAACAAAAAGCATCAGAACTGTTCCTCTGCTTAAATCGGTGAATTTTCTGAAGCTAGACTATTTTCATCTGAAGACATTTTATCGTCAGGATTTAGATAAAAATACCCTCAATTATTCATTAGAAATATTCAAAATGAATGTGTAATCAGAGGCAGGTGCATAAAACCGGTTGATGCAAAACAAATAGGAGGCTTCAAAACTTGTTTCTAGTAGAAAATATCAGGACTAAACCCAAATATTGAAGATTTTCTATGCTTTTTGGGAGATTAATTTTATCAATCAGACCGTCAGGCAGTGCCTTGCAGAAGTATTCGCATCCCTTGGAACTGGTGACATTTTGTCACATTACAACCACTTTTTTTATATATTTGGGTTCCTGGAATACAAAATAGTGTTAATTTATTTCCTTACAAATCCATATCAAAAAGTGCATTCAGTCCCTGCTATGCTGATTATAAAAGGCTCTAAAACAATATTTCAAGGCTTGGACTTCTCGCCAGTAGAGACCAACAACTGGAAACCAGTAACCTGAAAAGCAGCCAAGAGCCCCACTGCAGACATCTGGCAATAAGGAGGTCACAGAAGTCCCATTTGACATTTGTCACGACTTTTAAACCTACATCCAAAACACTACTTGTGGCGAAAAGTAAAGCCTTGAACATACTATTCCCATTGTATTACATGGTAGTGGCAGCATCATGCTGTGGGGACGCTCTTCTTTGGCTGGAGCAGAGACGTTGGCTAGCTTTCTGATAGATGTTTCTGTGTGAGAAACTGCTGCTATCCACCAACAGGAAAATGGCCGTAAACATCCAGAGACAAAAGCAGCGGATTGGCTGCATATTTATGTGATAGAATGGCCTAGTCAAAGTCCCAACTGGAATCATGTGGAAAGACTTGAAATTTGATTTTCACAGACAGTTTGGATTTCAGTCCTTTGGGTTCAAAGCTGGTAGATCCACTCAAAAGACTAGAAGCAAAATCACTGCAAAAACAAACTCTAACCAAGACATTTTGTTCTGATTTCTGAAGCAAATATCTTAATGCACTTGAAATAAGAAACTAAATAAAAGTAACTTCATAGCAAGACACAGAGGCTTGTTTTATGTGAATAATTGATGGGGAAAGTACTTGTTCCATTGGCAGATAAATTATTTTCTTGTTATAAATTAATCTGCCTATGGATCTAGCACCTTTTCATCAATAATAAGGAATTATTTACTTAAACAAGCCTCTATACCACTTCAAGTGTGCTAGACCAAAAATACTCGGTAAGATTTTGTGTTTTTGCAGTGGTGTGTTTTGACTGGAGGGGGTTTAATGTAACTATGCCACACTTTTTAGTTTTTTACTTATTAAAAAAAATATTTGTGTCAGTTCATCACATGTAATCCTAGTAAAACACACAGTAGTTTGTGGGCGCGTTAAAATGAAATTCAGAAATGTTCAAGGGGTGTAAATACTTCTGCAGGACACTGTAACGACAAGCCACATAAAAACAAAGAAACAGATGTGATGTGTGTCGTTGCGTCCTGTTAGCGTGGTTCAGATTCGTCCTGCCTGTTTGGGCTGGACAAGGCTTTGCTCCAGATGCAGAAAACAACAAACACACGGCGATAACGACAACAGTAACACTGACACGTTAAGCTGCACAAGCCCTCTTCTTCATTTCTCAGCTATAAATCTTAATGAGCTTCGCCCTCACCTCTACCGTTTCCTCTCCCTCCCGACACGGAGCCCAAAGTGGGAAATTAACCCGATACAAAAGAGAAGTAAGAAAACCGAAGCGTTACAAAAAGGTGAGTAAATCATGCAGTAATGGATTTGGCAGGAAATTCTCGAAAAAAGAAAATGCTTCATTACGGCATCAGAGGGATCTCGGTTGTCAAGGCTACAGTCATGAGTGAGACCAGCAACACAACAGGATGAAATGACAGATAAAGCACCGTCACTGCCACTTCCTCGGCCTTCAACACTGAGATTCACCCAACTGGTTCCTCTTCGTGATCCAGTCCCTCTCTGCTTGGCGGATCTGACTGCAGCTTCACACTCAACCACTCTTCAGATCTTGGCACGCCCACAGGCGGGCGAGAGACAAACATGGCCATTTTCTTATCGTGTCCCGGTTTTGACACACTAATGAGTAAACGGACTTCACCTCTGGAAGGGTTTTCGGACCTTCTTCCTCCTCCGGGGGGGTTTGCCGCCGTCGGGCCACGTCTCGCCGGAGTCTGGCCGATGGCCCCCCGGCATGTAGAAACCTGTCTGACCCGGGGGAGGGGAGAAAGGGGCAGCTCCAGCACCGGGCGGGTGGTGGTGGGGCGGACCTGAGGGAAAGAAGCCCCCGCCGTTGGCAGCCATGTCATTCGGCGGCCCGCCCTTGAACATTCTGTTGAAGAAGTCCTGCAAGTCAGCCGGGTTCGAAGGACCGGCGGCGTGCTCCGAGGGGCTCCTGGAAGGCAACACAGGAAGTTCAGGACCGCTTTTCGCTTGTGCCGAAGCATAAACATCATCAACCCTTCGCCCGTGACGTCACACTCTTCAGAACGCGGCCCGTTCCGCCATGATGGACATTAAAACAACCTCAGTGCTCCTGTAAAACTCATCAGAAACTAGACAGCCGGTAGCCTAATACCACTTTAATTTAGTTGATTTCACTTTTACAAACATCAAAACAATCTTCAATAACTTCATTTGGAATAACAGTCGGGTCACAGAAGGTTTGCCAAATTTTAAATGGTGCTTCTGGGCTGCTCAGCTCTCTAGTGCCTCCTGCTGGTTCTCATCGACAGCTTTGTCTCGAGTAAGTTCAGAAAATATGAATACCTAGATTCAAACCTAAATTCGAGGGAATACAAAGATTTACTGAAAAAGTGGCGCTGTCGGCTGGACAAACAGACAAGGATACAAACCAAATTTATAATTTTATTGTGTAACTTTTAACGATGGAAGATACGGCAGCGATGGATAATAGCTGTCAATCATAATGTCAGCCCGCAGCGTTCACCGCGGATTTGAAGCAAACACTTTTTACATCCATGCATAATACAGAATTAAACAGCCAGCTCTAAATATGACATATTAGGAAAATGTTTGTCATAAACCTGATCTTCAGAAAGCTGAGAGAGAATATAATTAACAATGAGAAGAAGAAAACTCTTTGGAATACACCAATATAATAAGGAGATGCAATAAAGTAAAACACAGGACTTTTTCTGTCAGGTCTACATCTTATGCTGCTTTGGATCTGTTTTACACAGACTGGATAGTTGACTCGATACCCGACTATCATGTTGCAGCAGGAAGGGAAGTGAACTGATCACACATTTAAGGTGCGATCTCTGTAATTAACAGCTGCAGACCAACAATGTGCTGTCGTAACGACCCGCACGCAGCAGGGACCGTTCCTCACAGGAACATCGATATTAGAGGTTTCTTTACGCTGGCAGAAATAAATCTGGGAGAAAATGTGAATTTATTTTTAAAAAATAAATAAAATAAAATAAAATTGACCGCTCACTGCTGAGCTTGTTCTCTAAATTAAACATCAAGACGGTTTGAAGTTCAGGTTAATTATTCATTATTACAACTTACAGATGTTTACTTTGACTCATCTCCTAACAAAAATGGTATAATTCTAGGTTTATTTGAATATCTCAGGTAAAAAACTGAAAGAAAGGATTCATTATTTAACAACGGTGAGCAATCCTGCCCCCAGATAAATGCCTCTGACCTTTTGCCCCTCAAGAAAACATTTCTGTATTCACGTTTACATTTCAACCATATCTTATATGTAAGGGGAAATATTCAGGGCTTTAATTCAGGAAGAAAAACAGTTTCTCTGTATGTGTTTATATGTTAGACAAACAAATGGTTTTCAGTGGAGCCTGAGCAATTTTAAAACTGTTGTTGTCATTTTTATTGAATAAAACATGAAATACAGCGCCACCGAGTGTCGACTTTCTTACATATGTTGTGCACTGAGGGGAAAAAATTAAGTAGAATCTCAAGTAAGAACGGTAAAATTAAAAGATATCCGACTTAAAAATAATCGTCAGTTTCTAAAACTTTAATGAGCATAAAAACTGAATTTATTATGTTTTGTGATGTGTATAAATGTTCTACATTCCTGGGTCAAGTTTTACAGTTTAATCAGAAATGGATCGATTTCTTTTGTTGAGGTTTTCTTTGGTTTTTCTCGATTTCAATTGGTTTACGATTCAATAAAGAGGAAAATCTAACATCTTTAGACCAGAGGAGCCAAAGTGGGACTGTCTGCAATAATTTTATGCAGCCTTTGATCGCTATTTAAAAACGCCACAAATTTTGTTCGACATCACAGGCAGCATTTAATTTAGGGTGTGGGTTTTTCACCTTGTGTTTTAAAACCCTTAGAGAAAACATAAAGTAATGATTTTGTTATTTTCAATAAAACCACACCCAGTGACTTCCACTCAAAACCAGATTTCATCGCACCTCTTCACTAAACCTGGCTATTAAAAACAGCATCTTTTCTGTATGAGAGAATGATCCAGATCCCATTCTTACTACTGGAAATAGACCAGAAACATTTTATTACCACCACAATCAAAAATTATTTACCCCCAAAGTGTACGACAGTTTTTAATTAAGACAAACCTGTTGGATTATTTTTAATGTTTTGCTTGGCTACAATCTCGTTTCTAAAGAAAATGTCTGAATTTTGGCGACAGGTTCAACTTTGCCTCTCGCTCTCTAAATACTTTCAGCCTCGTCGCAGCAGCTCAATAAAAATTACTCCCTCCTACATTTGACAGCCAAGGAGAAAATATAGTCCCAGCAATAAAACCAAAGTTCAATGCAAATCATTCCTATCTAGCAGGCAGAGCTTAAAACTCTGTAATTTGCTTTATAATGGTCACATGTCGACTTTTTTTGGATGAGCAGAGAAGTTATGCATTGGATACAGGAAGCCTGACATCCTGTGTTTTATCTACCACCGCTTGAATCACTCAGTCTGAAATGTTTAACAGCATTAATTTTTAAATTAGTTACACCATTTGCCTTTGCATCCTTGAAATTAATGATGGTTTATTTTAGTAAGACAAGCCTGATCACTACAAGCTGGTACTCAATGCTCTGTAAAGCTGTCACTGCAGCCACTACAGGTATTATTAAATTAAAAACTGACTAAAATCAGAACGTAGTTTCATCTTACGGTCAAATGTTTTTACATTTAATCTGTAAATCAAATGGAACTTGAAAGAAAAAATAGTTTGTAAGTTGTCTTCTTTGATGTTCAGAGCCACAATCATAAAAATGAACAGAAATAAACCTTTAGAGTATTTTTACTCTGTGTGTAAAAAAAAAAAAAATCTATGTATTGCCTAAAAGTTGTAATTTTTTAATTAAATCAACGAAATAAATGTGTTTAACGGTGGTCTTCTGGTTCAGTGATGCGCCTGCGTCATCAGTGGGACGTACCTGTGTCGTGTGGCGCTGCTGTTGTTCTTTGAACCAAACGAGATGTGGTACGGGACGCGGTGGGTGTCGGGGGAAATGCTTATTCTTTGGCAACCTGCCCACTCTGAAACATGACAGCAAACACACAAACATATTCATTTTTAAATCATTTTCAATTTAAAACATATTTAAACACCGACTTTAACTGATAAGTTTTTTTTTTTGGTCTGTTCTACATTTGAGAAGATTGGAAAAACCCGACGTGACTTTATACATCAGGAATTGTTGTAAATATGGCAGAGTAACAGCTCAGTGGCAGCGAGGAGGCAAATTAAAGGTTCCTGATGCTTAGTGGCATATTTTGTAAACAGCCAGAAGAAGTTTATTGGTCCAAACAACAAAGATCCATTCTCATTGCTTCCTGCCGTTTCTCCTGCATGCTGGTACCACTCTACCCATCTGGTACCCATAAAATACCAAACAACAAAACAAAAACCTTTAACTAATTACCAATTTTAAAAAAAACAGCTACAAGTAAGCAGAGTGAAGGTAAACTTTTAGTTCACACTTTTTAATCTAAAATTAGATATAGATACAGAACTACACACGACGCCACTTAAACCAAAACACTGGCGTAATGTTGTGGTTTAAGCGGATGAAGGTGTTTTTAAACACCTCAGCCAGTTTGGCAGGCAGATTAGAAGACAGTTTGAGCAACAGAGTCTTCGGGCAAAAGGCATCAACAAATTTCTCAGAAAAATAAATATTGTTGCGCATCCATCTGGGGAACGCTACAAGGCCATTCAAAAATAATCTGGAAGACGTTCAAGAGAATCAGCGTTCCTCCCAAAAGTGGGCGTCCCAATCAAGTTCAGCCCGAGGTCAAACCATGAACGACTCAGAGAAACTGCAAACACTCGCAGTCTGAATGCCTCAGCTCGTTTTTTTTTTTTTGTTTGTTTGTTTTTTTTAAGTGTTCAAGTTTATGAGGAAAATTTTAAAGTGAAAATTGTGAAACGACAGCTTAGGTTCTTAAAGCTACACCTGAACAAACTACAAGAACTTGGTTAAAATGTCTTCTGGATAAAAACCAAACAACATCAACGCAGTCTCGTCTGCTCAGGGTGGGTTTGTATCGTCTGTTCAGAGGGAAAAAAAAAAAAAGCCAAGAACCCCAGCTAGCTGGACGTACATGAACTTTTGCAACCACAAACTGCAGCAGTGTCTCCTACTGATAAACCAACACAAGGCAGTCAATCTCTCCAGAGTGGAAGGAAAATGCTCTAAGTCTTGCTGCGTGATCTCCATTGGATTCAAGTCTAGACTTTGACTGGGCCATTTTAACACATGAATATGATTTGATTCAAACTGGGGCTCCAACCAACTTATTTTAGTAATCATAAAACTGGCACACTGTGTAAATTTTTTTTCATTTTACCGCTTAATTCTTTTTCATACAAAAGTAGAAATACTTTAAAAAACATCTAAATAAATAAACTATTTATTTTTTAAGTAAGGGCATAAAACATGTATTGCCTAAAATGAAACGACAGAGCAGTCCTTCAGCGTACACTTGATCATTTGTAGCAAAGGACTTATCTGCAGTTAAAAAAAAATACTTCCAACATCAACATGTGAAAAGCGTTTTAGTCCTTTCTGCTAAAATTAGTATTTATACAGCAAACGGCTGATTTGTTGACCATTATATGGATTAACTGATTAATAGTTTGACAGCAAAAGGGCCTTAATAGGAGATTTTCTATACCCAATTTGAACCAAGAGTAGCTTAAACTCTCTAACTTGTGGAGTTCTGGGTTCACCATATTCACAAAGTTTGTATTTTTTATTATCTTTTATGCAAAAATGTTTATATTTTCGTAGAGTTTAATTACTGCTCTGATTGTGTTTTTCTTTCAGCAATTGGCCTTTGTGAGTCTGTATACTCAATTAAATACTATATTAGTTGACAATAATTTCACTAATTTATTGATCAATTAATCCAATGAGTTTACCATCAGCTCTGACAAGAGGAACAGAGTCTCCCTCAGCATGATGGTGCCACCGCTGTATCTCACCATGGAGGCGGTGTGTTTAGGGTGACGTTCAGCATCAGTTTCCAAAGGGTTGAGATTTTGTTTCATCTTCTTCCACATGTTCTATGCTGTTAACCATCAGATGACGGATTATTTAATCTGCGAGACGTTCTTATAAACGTTTACGAGGTAGAAGCAAAGTATTTCTCATGAAGAAGCACAATCTTGAAAGTCCGTCTTAGTCTTGAGTTTAGACAGAAATAAACTGATAAAAACGTCCGTTCACCTGTAATGTCATACACTTTTCCTTCCATACAAGCAAAGTACGTGATGCGTAAACCCAACATGCTGGACTCGGCCCACAGGTCTCCCTCCTCGGCGCTATGGCAACGGCTGCATTCAGCACAGAAGCGGGCTTCAGCAGGATCTCGATCCATCTCGAACCGCCTGCACACACGGGTCATGAAGGAGAAACCAGTGAAGCGGAACAACGTTCACGACGACGACTCCGGTGTGAGAAACACTGAACGCTTCAGGGATTCGGGTTGATACAGTGATGTCATGTGTCGATACAGTGATGTCAGGTGCGCATCAACGTACTTGTGCTTGCCTTCACACTTTGTGCACATCATGGTGTTCATGGCTTCCTTCAGGTCATCCTGCAGTTTGGTGAGAAACTCGTTCATGGACTTTGAGAGCTCGGTTGCTGCCATGCGCTTCCTGTGTGGGAAAGACACAACTTGTGATTCAAGACAATTCAGAAGTTCCCTGCTAAACAAATCTAAGGCGGAAAATGTGAATATTCTCTGAATTCGGCAACTGTTTTTATACGTCGTATTTGCCTTTTCTCTGCACTGGAATCACAAAGCAGATGCAAACCAGCATATCCAAGCAGCTAGATTTGGTTTTGGTTGTAGCCGTCTTCTCTTCAGCCATGAAAGCAAATGCAGAAGTGACCAAAGAGAGAGAGAAAAAATATGCTGTACTTTTTAAATGTGATTATTTTACTAAACAGAGAACTCCAGACTGGATGAGGCCTTCCTTAAAACTCATAAATCAGTAAGTGATGCTGCAGATTGTAAAATCTCTCACTGCAGTGCATGTTTCCCCCTCAGTGGGAAACAGTTGGGCATGTTTAGGTTCTGTTGGGAAGTCCAGCAATTTATTTGATGAGAAAAATCTGTCTCATTAGAAGAAGGGATGCATTTTCTGATCTTGTATCAACAATCTCACCAGTTTTTAGCAGCTGTTTTTCTTTTCATATCACACAATTAAGAATGCAAGGCTATTTTCCCAGGCTGTAATTAACATAAAGGTAAGTCAAAATAAGTAGGTGACACCTTAACTACACATAATACTTCCTCAAAATGCAGGCAAACTGTCAGTTGTCAGGCCATTTGCTCAGTGACAACATTTTAAAGGAGTATTGTGTTTTCCAGGCACAAAGTGTCGTTTTATAGCACAGTCAGGTAATTATGTTCCCTTCAGTTGCTATAAAAATGCTATAAATATCAAATATGATTCCTGCACCTGCACATCATCACAGCAATGCTCCTCTTGAAGCCGTTTACAGCCGTTGCACTGAGCAGTAGTTTGTGTGATAAGCTCTGCAGATGTGGCGTTCAAGGTGTGCTTTGTATTAGCAATCCTTTAGCCACCCTTGAATAACTGAGATGGCAGATTGGAGGATTTCTCAAATATGAAGAATCATGGCAACACTCCCTATATGTTTTTGATGAGGGAATAACATTATAACATGATGTAAACCTCAAAAAAGCGTTTTAACATAATACTGCCTCTTTCCAGCTTCACAGATAGAAAAGCTCAGGTTTGGTCACATTCAGCCGGAGTAAATGGCTTCAGTGTTACTCTTCCTGTCACAGAAGGAAAAATACATCTTTATATAGAAAGCAAAAAAGCATTTTTTTTAATAGAACAAAAGTTTATGAGGCTGCTGAGGATTGTAATAAATTCTAAGCTGCAAATGGCAAAAGCCAAGAAAAGAAAAATATTAAAATCAAGAAACTGTATTTATTGTATGTTCATGCCAAGATGTCCTTCCTAACAGTGCGTTGTTCCTCAGGGGTCTGGTGACTTTCTCCTACTCACAGCTCATACTCTCGCCGTGTCTCAGGGTTGCTGACAATATCCCAGGCTGCCCTCAGAACCTTGAACGCCTCTCCGGCTCGCGGATGTTTGTTTTTGTCTGGATGGACCTGAAAGCACAAAAGTCGAGGTTATTGAAGTGAAGAAGGGTGGAAAAGGCTCCTTACTCCAGATTAAACACACACACACCTGGACAGCCAGCTGTCTGTAGGCCTTCTTCAGCTCCGTCTCTGTGGCATGCACCTCCACGCCCAGCACCGTGAAGGGGTCGAGCTCCCCCTCTGGCACCTCGGCCAGCGCCAGCAGTCGCTCCAGTTCCTGACTTGGCTCCCCTCTTGCGGCTCTGCTGGGCGACGAGGGCGATGACGGAGTGTTGCGATACTTCCTGAACCAGCTCCGGACTCTCTCCAACACAGACGCCAGCCTCTTCCAGACCCGCGACTCCAGAAAAGCCATCCAATAGCGTTTACCCCGCTCACCACCAACACGCAGCAGCAACCCCTTCACCCACTGGAAGCTGAAAATAACTAAAGCGCAGAAAAGTCTCAAACAAGAGGAGACGGCTGACTTTATCCACTTAAGAGTCCTCATAGTTTTGTCCAAAAGGTCTGCTCCAGCGCATTTCATCCGCTTCAAAACCCGGCTAAAGTCTGCTTTCATTCCAGGCAGATCGGTGATCTTAACAACAATCTGCTTCCCGCAGTTGTAAAGTTTCAAAACCCCCATTTCCACTCCAACTCCGCAGTTGTGAGTTAATGTCACAATGATCTCAATCAGCATGTGGACGCAGGAAATGCACCAGACGCTCAGGGAGTCTGACAGCATCTCTCTGAAAGCAAAGAAAAGTTGTTTTCCCGTCCGCCTGCGACTGCGACTCTGCTGATGGTGGTGATGGTTGCGTCTGCGAGTCTGCTTGTGCCGACTTCCGCTGGACGGGATGCTGCCTTTCTGAAAGCTCTGCTCGAACAGAGAGCTGCCGCTCCTCAACTTGCACCTCCGTCCGCCTCCCAGCGCCCTCCAGCCAGACTCTCCGTTCATCTGTTGCTCCTTTGCGGCTTCATCTTCTTCTTGATTGATAAGCTGTGGGTTTTCATGATCCAAATCTTGTTCAAACCCTTCTGAAACCTCTTCTGCGTCCTCTTTAGCCTCCATGGATTCACATGACTCTACGTCACCCGTTCCAGGGTCAATAACTGAAGTTTCCTGAGAGTTGAGATGGACCGTATTATCCTCCTGTGTGCACTCATCAGTCTCTCCAGCCTGCTGCTGCTCCGAGACAAAACCACCGTCACAAACCTCCTCATCATCCATCTCTTCCTTTTCCATGTCCCTTACAGTTGTCAGATTGAAAGGGGACAAAAGTTCCCTAACTCCATGATCTGCTGCAGAGTTTCCTCCATTAGCTCATACCAATATGAAACTGGGGTTCCTCACAGCTAACATTATGAAATCGGCCACCTGAAAAGAAACAGATCAGAAAACAAAACAGCCCCTTCAATCAAAGAAATAGATCCTTAAAGTCTAAATAAATATAAGGTAACATAAGTTAGTAAAATGTTACTATATCTGTACCAGATTTTCTCCCAGTGCATAAAGGCACCGATGTCAGTAAAAATGAGATTTTTAACTCATTTTATCTCCTAAAATAGCCAGAAATATTCAATGTTGTTATTTAACCAACAAAACTTTCATCATCAAGATGCAGAAACTGTGCCTTGCTAAGCTGTTCATACTTCTTGAACTTTTTCACATTTTAACTCACTATACAACCACAAACATCTATGTAGTTTACTTGGATTTAATGTTACAAACCAATGCAAAGTAGCACATAACTATGAAAACAGAAAATCCTGCATGGCTTTTCTATTTTTCTTTTATCCAAGCTTCATCTCTATTCAAACCCTGCACTCTGATGCCAATGAAAAGGCCACTAAGTAAAATAAAACTCATAAGGAGTGCCATTTAAAGATTATCACAAGCCAAGTAACAGACACTGTAAAAAAAAAGATAAGATAAGATAAAACAGTACATTAAAACTCAAAGCAAGAAGAAAACACAATGAGCTCAGTCTCTACTAACCAAATCTGTGGAGCATTTGCTTTTACACCAAATATTCCATTTTAAATATTAATCTAATCATTCAGGAGTACAACAATAGAAGAAAAGGCTTTTTGTAATCTATTGTTTAACATTTTATTAAGGTGTAAAGGTTGTAATGCCTGATATGGATCTGTATTGATTTTTTTAAACGTACGAGAGTCAATAATTGATAATGCACAACTACATAGTTTTGAATAATAGCAAAACCTTAATGTTTTGAAGAAATTCGTCAGAAAAAGCAAAGCATCGTAACTTGTGTTTTGCAGATGAATGGCTGTATTTGTTCGGCATTTGATCAAATTAAACTTATAAAGCTTGCTCTAACACGAACATATTCAAACATATATCATAAATTACAATGAATATCACAGCTTGACTAACTAAGAAATTTAAAAGCAGACTTTTCTGACGGTAACCTGGCTGTCACACAAGAAATCATCTTAGTCCTGCTGAAAGCTCCTGATGTTTTTCTTGAAACGACGAAGGTTAGCAAGCAGCCAGGGTGTTAGCATGAGGAAGCAGGAAGACAAATATGAGTAATATTAGCTTCTTCTGAGTCCAACTTAGAAATTATTTCATTAAATATGGCATTACTTACAGAAGAAAAATATGAAAGATAAAAAACAGCAAGTCTGAACGCAATTAGCTCGCCAGAAGCTAACTCTTAGCCAATGATACTAACTGAACCTGCTATTATTAGCGCCTGTTTCCTCTTCCTTTCAGCTCAGACGAGCTTAAAAACAGAGACGGGCTAAAGCGAGAGCCAGAGTCATTTAACATATTTCGTTCAAGAAAGATGAGAGTCATTTAACATACCTTTAAGATGAATGTGTAACCTTGTTTGTGAACAGAAAGCCAACTGTTTCTTTTCCTCCTCTAATTCCTTCTATGGTTTTCTGACAGTGAGCAGACATCGGAGGGGCGGTGCTGCCACCTAGTGTTCAACAGAGAGATCAGGTTCAAAGGGTACATATGTTTAAACTGTAGCCAGTCAGTCGCAGTCTTAGAGTTAGTCAAATCATAATTTCTTGGCTGAAATAAAATTGGATTAATCTGAATTAGGACGCTAACAATAGAAATAATAATATTCAGCTTGAATTTCCTTGCGTGGCCTCTGGGGGAAATGGCACCATAGTCAGAGAGGCAATTTGAAATCATGGAGTCACACTACACATTCAGTCTCACAAACCATTTTTGCTTGGGTGTAGACTAGTAAACGGTGCCCTGTAGATGTAACTTTTGAACCTTCCCACAGGTTTATGTTACAATCATATAATTATGATGCATTTTATTGTGATTTTATGTGACATATCAACCCAACCCACTGTTTAGAACAGTGAAGGGGAAGGAAATAAAAAAGTTTAATGCAGCCAGTTGATTAGCAACAAAGAGGGCAATCTAATCTTGCTATAAACCCAGCTGTACTGCAAAGTTCTCAGTGGTTTGTTAGATAGTTGAACGGACAGCATCATGATGTTTTGCATCAGCCAGGAGCCAAACTGGACTATTCCAAAGTAAAAAGGGAATTGTTTCTTTTACTGAATATTTTAAATATGTTTTTCACCAGTAAAATAAACTAAAATGTATCTTAGTCTATCCATTTTCAAGCATTAAAGTTTTTTGGTATTTGTTTTAACTTAATGTAGTACTAAAGCTATTTATACCAAGGCCTGGAAGCTTTTGCAACCTTTCAATTTTTCCACATTTTGTCACCTTGCAATCCTAAACTTCATTGTGTTTAATTGGGATATGATACACATTTTACTCTGACACTTAAACACCCCTGAACAAAGTTTATTTGTAGAACAAAAGCCATGTTACTTTCATTTTACACCTTGACACAAGCAAAGAGAAATGACCAGTCAGATGGGATGGAAAATTTAACCTTTTAACATAACATGCAAAGTGTTTGTGTGATGGAAAACTTACTCTGCTGTCACCTTGTCAACAGAATCCAAAGTGAGACATGGTGAAGGCAGCATGATGCTGTGGCAATATTTTTCTCCAGAAGGGTCGCCGGAAGCTGATCAAAGTTTTGTAAAACAAACATCCCTCTTTTTTGTACAATTATCTCCAGAGGACTCAGAGTAGAACAGGGCTAGCCCTCTTTACCAACTTGATGATTTATTTTTTATTTTTGCTAACTTGATTCAAAACAGAATGACATGTCTCAATTTCAGGGACCATTTATTTCCAATTGATTCTATTAACACTGGCAAGATGAGAGTTAGAATGGTCCAGTCAAAGACCAGAGTTAAATTTAATAAATTAAATTAAGAATCTTCATTCTCTAGATGCATAACACTGACAGATATATCTCAAAGACCTCAGCTGAATCTAAATTCACGCCACACTTTTCAAATTTTATTTGCAAAACATACATATTTTATTTAATCCAAATCATTGTCCTTCCACTTTACTACTTTGTGTTTATCAATTTAAATTCCGTCTTTTTAAGAATAATAAGAATGAAACGCAGTCTCCCCTCATTTCTTGGCCATTTTAAAGGCGAGTCTCCACGATGACTCTTTAGTTGGAGGGTCTTTTGACACGGTAAACCTCCGGGAATCCCCTGAAGCCTCTGCATGAAGGACTAATCTCGAAGACGCATGAGGGTTAATTTCAAGCCCCCACTATACCACCACCCACATCTCCAATTTGAAAGCCGCCTCTCTACCGGGAGAGGAAGGCTCTTTTTCGGTCAGATGGCGTGCTGCAGTCCGCCCCCGTCATTCTCCAGCCCACACAGACGGCAAAAAAGGCAGCCAGCAACCAATACGGTGCGCCGGAGGAGGATTTCTGCCAGTGATATCAGCCGAGGAGCGATACGCAAAGGGGATTTACTACGGCAAATCTGCGCCGTGGAGGCTCTCGGCGAGAGGTAAGAGTAACGAATAGGATAATAAGAGCGATGTGACGCCGAGCAGGGTGTCCTCCTCTTGTAGCTTTAGAGAGGAGCCAGTGATCCAAGTAATTCCTGTCTGAACGTGTGCTGCTCCTGTCTCAAAGACTGGCTGATATTGTGTTTCTTTGTCAGTTTCGCTCCGGGAGTTGCGAGCCGTGACATTGGAGAGAATATATTCCCAGTTTAGGCGGAACAGATCTTCACAAGGAACCTGAAAAGGTAAGAAAAAATATCTATCTAAATACTTTTAGTTGTATGAGAAAATGCATGCATGAAAAATAGAGAGAGGTTTTTGCTTAGAGCGCAAGACTTCAGGAACTTCTTGAAAGCAAAGGAGAAGCTTTTGAACTTATGTTTGGACCTCATGCCAGAGACTTCACTTTAGTAACTAACGTCTCCAGTACTTCTTTCTCTGCAGGTTCATGCGATTCCCCTCCGTTGTTTGACCTTTCCAGTGCTGTGTGCTATGTCTCTGCCACGCACCCTTGGGGAGTTGCAACTCTACCGGGTGCTGCAGAGGGCCAACCTGCTGGCCTACTATGAAACCTTCATCCAGCAAGGCGGTGACGACGTGCAACAGCTCTGCGAGGCTGCCGAGGAGGAGTTCCTAGAAATCATGGCCCTGGTTGGCATGGCCACCAAGCCGCTGCATGTGCGTAGGCTGCAGAAGGCTCTCCGCGACTGGGCGGCAAACCCTGCCCTTTTCAGTCAGCCCGTCGCTAATGTCCCTCTTGGGGGGATCCCGCTGTTCAAAGTCGAAGGGACGGGCTCCAGTGGGTCAGCTGGAGGGCACAGAAAGGCTCTGAGCAACGGGCAACCTGGTTCCCCCTGTGAGAGAGAGGACCGGGCATGTCTCACCCCAATGTACAGCGGCAGTCCGAGAAGTCCCTGCTCCCAGGCGTCGCCGCAGCCGCCGGACACACACTACAGGGAAAAACTCTCCCCCATGGACCCACACTGGCTCAGCCCAGACCCCGATGGGAATGGCGCTCTTGCCTCTGCATCTGGAGCCGAGGAGGAACCGCACAGCCCACCTCTCCTGTCCGCAGGTCCTCCGGGTCCTTCCACATCTCCAGTGCCCTCCGCGTCCTTCGCTCCAGTAACCCTGTCAGCCTGGCCAGGAGGGCAGCTGGACGAGGAGACGGCCAGGGCCGTGGTGGAGAGTGTGGAGAGACTCTATAGGACCCTGCCCAGGTCAGACCCCACAGAGGTAAAGACTCTGCTGAGGATGAACAAGAAAATAGCAAAAACCGTGGGTCACATCTTCAGAATGGGCTCGCAGGATGCAAACAAGGAGGAGGAGATCCGGAAATACAGCCTCATTTATGGTCGCTTCGACTCCAAGAGGAGAGAGGGAAAGCAGCTCACACACCACGAGGTAAACTCAGAAAAACTAAAGCTGCCTGCTTGAAAGCACCCATTAGTCCTTCACGCACTGTTTTTTTTTTTCCCTCCCCAGTTGATCATCAATGAAGCTGCTGCCCAGTTCTGCATGAGAGACAACGCTCTCCTGCTCAGACGGGTGGAGCTCTTTTCTCTGGCTCGACAGGTGGCCAGGAAATGTGCCTACACCTCCACACTCAAACATGCAAGGTAAGTATTTCAGTGACATTCACGCCTCACTCCATGCAAAGACTGGACATCTATTGATACATTTTTCATACATTTTCAAAGCAGGGCTGCGCTTCTTTCTATCCAGCCCTGATACATATACATTGACAAAGTAACTTTTTCCAGCTTGTAAATCCCCTGATGCTAAAAGTCAGTTTTGGTTAGCACATCTGAGCAACCCCAAACACCTTGAAACCACATTTAGACCTCAACAGACGTTTCTTTGTGTACGTATTTTCACTTTTCCACAACTTTAATTTACTGTGGTATTTTCTGTGCCAGTACCTGAAGATGCAAATGTAGCTTAATTAGAACATGACACAAAGATGCTGAGTTAATACAAAAATGTAGAATTTTAGTATCAATTTAAGCAACCGCACTGCGAAGTATTAGTCTCACAGTTTCAATCTGAAGGAGGGGAAGATGTTACGCTATAAAAAACATCTTTACGCCCGTTTCCAGAAAGATGTTGTTGAGTTGGACACAGAAATATACAACTCACAGTAACAAAAATATTAATTGAAAACTCACTCATGATTGCATTTCTATACAAGTTTTAGGAAAACCTTTTGAGATTAAAAAAGATTTTAGCAAACATCAACCAAGAAACCTTCCAATTATTCATAATGTAAAAGACTGGGTCTATATTTAAAACTCTAGAAATTTAAAGTTAAATGTTTTCTTCCCTTTTGTTTGTATGTTAATTTTACCATTGTAAATTAAACATTTAAAAATGTAACCTTTTTAAAATCACATACTCATGTTTTGAAAAGTCAGTTCAGCTAAAACTATCAGTGTAACAAACACTCTTCCCTGTTGGTAGAGTGTCGCAATTTGTCAATTTAAGTTTTATGTGGGATTTTCTGATGATTTTTACTTTCCACTTTGAACTTTGTTACTTTAAATTAGTTAAAATACACTTTCAAAGCTCCAAAACAAGAGGTGCAACCTCATCTTCATGTTTGTCTCTGCTGCAGGTCAAATGCTGACGAGAGCAGCGGTTTGTCTCAGAAGAGAGCGAGACACGAGGTGAATCCTTGTTGCTGTTTCCGCTGCTTATTAGAGCTCATCTGGTCTCCTCGTTTGTAGACGTTCATGAGCGGGCTTGTGTGGTGTGTTTAAGGTCATCGTGTCTGAGTCATCGCTCCTTGGAGTGGAGGGATCTGAAGGAGCGACTCAGAGAGCAGATGAAGACAGCTTGTCTGCAGAGAGCCTTGACTGCGTATCGCTTGGTAACGCTCCACACTGAATTTACATTAGAAGTTATTTTAAAATAAAACAAAGAAAGAAAAGACAGTCTGAGCTGAGCTCTGTTTGCTCTGTTAGACTCCAGCTCCCAGTGCAACCAGTCTCCGTCCCCCCGTCCCCACACTGACGCCTCGAACCCCGCCAGCTGGAGCCGCCATCTAATACAGCAGACTCTAATGGACGAAGGCCTGCGATTGGCTCGGATGGTGTCACATGACCGGGCGGGGAAACTCAGCCTGGGGCCAGAGGGAACTCACTCGGCAGGTGACTTTTCAGAGACTCCCATACCTGGATTGTTCAATATAGATTAAACCTGTTACTACAAGGTAGAGGAATGACTTAGGGGTTATTTTCTAAATTTCTGGAAGGCATAAACAAATGTGATTCCAAAAAAGTCTTCAATTTGAAGGTGGGTAGATTATAAATGGGATGGTTAAAGATTTACGAAGGAATATTCAAGAAGTCTCTGACTTTTTCAGTTCAACCCAACCAACATCTTACCCACGTTTAAAGGGACTTTTGAAGTGAGACGGATAAGCAGTTAACATCTGACCTGCGGTATAAAACTCTCTTAGCAACCTCGTTTACCATAAATCAAAGGTATTTGGTCCTTGAGGCTAGAGAAGCCAAGATCAAAGCAGTCTTTTACCGTTTTGACAGAAATAAAAGCTGCAGTGGTTTGTTCTGCTGATGAAATCATGAAGCCTTAGACTGTCGCCACCATTTTCATTTGGTATTTATTTACACAGAAAGCGCCAATCGTTAGGTATGAGGCAACGAGCCAACAATCACCTTCCTGTGCCAAAAACGCACCGAGAACAAAACATGTTTCTGGCCTAAGTAACTTACAAGCAGGAAAGTGAAGGATTAATACTGTTCTAGAGCTGCTATTTGTTTCAAAGGCAAAAGAAGACACAGTGTCATTAAAAGGACAAGTAGCAGGCACAGTCTGAGCTTAAGTCAGATGTTATAGCAAAGACTCAATATCAATATTATTCTGTGTTGTTTTAACAGATGAAAATTCATAATGATGAATGATTGAAATTGAGAGTAGAGGTGAAATTTCCTTCTCAGAGGATCAATTGAGGAGAAATATATATTGACATCATGGGATAAAGTTTTGTACTCCACGGTGACAGACTGTAACTTTCACATCCTTTATCCCAACACACGTGCGCTATTCGAACCAGGAGCACATTAAGTCCACACACACACTTAAACATGTGATAGAACTTGATTTTGCATTAAATCCTCTTGTTTTCCTCATGTTTGAAAACGAATAACACACCATTCCCTTCATGGCTTGTTGCCTCTGTACTCAGAAGTGAATTTTATGGGGGATTTTCATTCAAAATAAAACAAAAACATGCAATGAAGTCAGAATTTCAACCTGAAAACTCTCAATTTGCCCTGTATTCCTGAGTTGAGAATA